TGACTTGTTCTTTTATTATTTTTTTTTTATAAAAGATTTATTTTCACAAAAAAACGGCGAGAACTTATTCACACTCCCATATATATGTATATATAATATACATATACACGCGTATGCATATGTATGCGTGTGCGTGGGCGTGCACGCGCGCGTGCGTGTGTGTGTGTGTGTGTGTGTGTGTACATATATACAACACATGTCTAAACTTTATTTACTGAATTATTTACGCATACATATATATAGATAGCTCGGAATGCGATGTGTGTTTCGGTTGAACTTCGATTCTATTTGGATGTCAGAACGACAATCTCGTCGCACTCGTATAAATGAAATTTTCGAATACTTATTGCTCTTATACTAAAGCTCATAACTCGTTTCTGCAAGCATAGTATTGTTCTTTGAGATTTTCTGTAAATCGTTAGCTACTTATTTTAAACGTGCAAGGTCTGAAATTATTGTATACAGCAGATATTTTATTCGACTCGGATGTCGAAATGTCGATTTAAGAAGCGCCATTCCTCTTATCGCGCACAAATGAAGTACCGCTATTTACCTACAGAAATGGATTGAATCATTGTATAAACTAGCAATATATTATCGGCTGGAAATGTTATAATAATAATATATTTTTGTATATATCAGAATATTTTTGTATATATCGGAAATATATATATCAGGATTATTGTTTAGAAAAGGAATCATGCATTCTTGCTGCATCGGCGATGATGCCAAACCAGAATCAATAGAAATCACATTCTTGAATTGCAGAATGAATTATTGAAACAGAAGTACGACAGAGTGAGACAAAAAAAACGAAAAAGGATAGAAACTTGTTGAGGCTCCGCACATCGAGCTGGGCTCGTTGAAAGAAACATCAAGTCTATCATTCAAAGTCTCTCTCTCTCTCTCTCTCTCTCTCTCCCCCCCCTCTCTCTCTCTAATCGCTTGTTTCTAGCGACCAAAAATGCTTTCTGGGAAATTTTGGTCGCTCAACGTATATAATTAAAAGGAGAAGGAACATTATAGATAACATATAAGTTTTAATAAATTATGCTAATCCTATATCTCTCTAATTTATGTATTACATATCTTGTCAACTATCACGTTTTGAAATCATTTTTGCTATTATACATTAATGAGAAAGGTATATGATTAACTCTTTCACTTACAATATCGTGTGGAGATTCGTGGTAAAGAAATCGGGTCAAACATAAGTATCATTGGTGAGAGCCGTGATACGTTTATTGGGCCAAACGTAAACAACACGTTCCAGGTTGTTAATTATGGCACGCGCCATCGTAACTTAAATCGTAGGGCAAAGAGTTAATATAATTTATTAAAAATTATGTATTATCTAGAATGTCTCTTTCTCCCTTATGATATACGCCAAGCGGTCGAGATCGCCGAGAAAATATTTTCGGTCGTTAGAAACAAGCGACCACAGAGAGAAGGACAGAGACAGATTCATTGTTTTGCTAGACGAGCCCAGTTCGGCTTGTCCGCGCGGAGACTCATCGATTACAATCGGAGCTTCTATCCGTTTTTGTTTTTTCTCTATCTCGCTCTATCGAAACAACAGAAATTGAAAGAATTTTAAATCACAAATACGATTGCCAGATCTCCGTTTTTCGTATTACTCCAAATATATTTTTTATAAAATTATAGAAATTATATACGTGTACTTCAATGTGCTCGAAATTAGTTGCGCATTTCGGACTGATTTCTGAAGTGCTGCCTACTTTTCCTTCATAACTGCTCAACGCTTGACGATCACACGCGGACGTGCATCTCAAGAACGTCACAGTATAAGAAACATGCGACCTTCCAGCAAACTGTCATGAAAATATTTTTTTTCCTTCCTACATAATATTTTCTTAATAATGGTGATCGAACATATCCTATTAATAACTAAATGCATTTTACTGAATGTAATGTACTTTTAAAATATTACTTTATTATTTTTATGATACATTCGGTTTCAAAGAGCTACTGATCACGTTTTTGTGCCACAGAATGTAATATAGAATTTTACTTTACGCGTCATATATCTGGTCATTTATTTGTATTTTTTTTAGTGGAATAAACCTGATGAATGCACTTAAATGACGTATCAATAACAGAACTTCAAAGATAATAGAGAGTTTTTACAATAACGTGGATTTAAATACGGTGAACGCCTTTTCTTAATTAGTCGTTAAGAAGAAGATAATGTGACCATGAAATCGATTATGTACCTTTTTTCTTAGAGTGAAAAGTTAAAATTTTTTGTATGTATGCGTGTATATGTATAATATATGCATATATATATCGTTTTGCGTGACGCGTAGAACACAACGGCGTTATACGAGTCAATCAATTGTAACCAGTATGACCCGCGTTCACACTATTGGCGCAACAATAGGGAGAACGGGGTGGTGGCGATCACTTAAGAAAATTTATTAATATTTTCAGTTAAAATTGATTTTTTTCTCAAATTTGTTACAGAAGCATACATTATAGGATTATAGAAAAAACCATTAAAATAAAATCATTATTAAAGAGAAAACTATTAAAATAATTATTAGATGCATTAAATTTTTATTTATCGATTTAAAAGATATAGCACTTTGATGGGTGTGCACTTTGATCTGTGAGGGATCAGAACGATCAGGCTGCGGGTCATGGTGAATCGGGGTGAAATCATGACGATTAAGTCTATTTTGATTGGGCATTTCAGTT